CACCTAAACACCAACCCACACTACCACTCTCAACACCAACCCACACTACCCACACTACCACCTCAACACTCAACCCACACTACTACCTAAACACCAACCCACACTACATACCCCTCAACACCAACCCACACTACCACCTCAACACCAACTCCACACTACCACCTTAAACACCAACCCACACAACACCACCTCAACACACCAACCCACACTACCACCTCAACTAACCTAACCCACTACCACTAACACCAACCCACACTACCACCTCAACACCAACCCACACTTACCACCTCAACACCAACCCACACTACCACCTCAACACCAACCCACACTACCACCTTAAACACCAACCCACACACTACCACCTCAACACCAACCCACACTACCACCTAAACACCAACCCACACTACCACCTCAACACCAACCCACACTCACACTAACCTCAACATCAACACCACACCAACCCACACCACCACCTCAACACCAACCCACACTACCACCTAAACACCAACCCACACTACCACCTCAACACCAACCCACACTACCACCTCAACACCAACCCACACTACCACCTCAACACCAACCCACACTACCACCTCAACACCAACCCACACTACCACCTCAACACCAACCCACACTACCACCTCAACACCAACCCACACTACCACCTCAACACCAACCCACACTACCACCTCAACACCAACCCACACTACCACCTCAACACACCTCAACCAACCCACACTACCACCTCAACACCAACCCACACTACCACACCCTCAACACCAACCCACACTACCACACTACCAACACCAACCCACACTACCACCCCAACACCAACCCACACTACCACCCTCAACACCAACCCACACTACCACCTCAACACCAACCCACACTACCACCTCAACACCAACCAACCACACTACTACTACCACCAACACCAACCCACACTACCACCTCAACACCAACCCACACTACCACCTCAACACCAACTTCCACACACTCATCACCACCTCAACACCAACCCACACTAACTCACCTCAACACTAACACACCCAACACCAACTACACTACCACCTCAACACTCAACTCCACACTACTCAACTCAACACCAACCCACACTACTACTCTCAACAATTCTCAACCCACACTACTACTCTCAATACTAACCCACACTGGTCAACTTCTCAACACCAACTCCCACACTACTACCTCAAACACAAAACCCACACTACTACCTCAACACTAAATCCCACACTACTACTTTTAAACACAAAATCCCATACTACTAATTTCAATACCAACCCCACACTACACTAATTTCAACACACTAACTCCTCAATACTACCAACTCTAACAACCTAAATCCCATAACTCCTCAATATCAACCCACACTACTACCTTTAAACACTAACCCACACTACTACTTTCAATACTCAAATCCAACTCCACACTTACTACTCTAAATAATTAAATCCCACACTCAAGCAACATTTTTAACATCTAACCAATACTACTACCTTCAATATCAACTCCATACACTACTACCTCTAACACAAACTCATACTAACTCTAAATACTCAACCCACACTACTACTCTCAAACCAACCCACACTGCTACCTCAATACTAACTCCACACTACCTACTCTAAACACTAACTCCACACTGGCCACTTCAACACTAAATCCCACACTACTACTTCTAACACCAACCCAAACTACTACTCTCAATATCAACCCAAACTTAACTTTCAACACTCAACTCCACACTACTACTCTCAATATCAACTTCCACACTACCACTCTTAACACCTAACCCATACTACTAACTTTCAACACTAACTCACATACTACTACTCTCAACACCAACTCCACACTACTACTCTCAACACTAACCCAAACTACAAACTCAACATCAACTCCCATACTACTACTCCTAAACACTAACCTACACTTACCACTCTCAATAACAAACCCCACTTAACTTCTCTACCAACCTACACTACTACTCTCAACACCAACCCACACTGCTACCTCAACACAACAACCTTACTCAATCCCAACCCACTACTACACTTCAAACTAACCTACACACTACCAATTTCAACACAAACCCACCTACTAACTCTCAAAGACCAACCCACACTCACTACCTCCAACACTAAACTCCACACTTACTACTTAAAAACACTCAACCCACACTACTAACAACCTAAACACCAACCCCAAACTCACTACCTAAAACACCAACCCACACTACTACTCAAACACCAACTCCACACTACCACTCTCAATACCAACTCCACACTAATTAAACACCAACCCACACTACCACCTCAAACACTACAACTCCACACTGCTTCTCAACACCAACCCACACTACCACCTAAACACCAACTTCATTACCAATTGCCTAAATACCAACTCCACACTACTACCTAAAACACCAAACACTGCCACCTCTAAACACCAACCACACTACCTCTTAAATATTCAACTCCACACTACTACACACCCAAAACACCAACCCACACTACTACCTAAACACTCAACCCACACTGCCTAAACACCAACTCCACACTACTACCTCACAACACTAACCCAAACTACTACTCTTTCAACACTAACTTCAACACTTTCACTACCACTCCTCTCCACTAACTCCCACACTACTACTCTAAACACCAACCCACACTGCCATTTCAATACTCAACCCACACTGCCACTTCTCAATACCAACCCACACTACTACTTCTGAAAACCAACTCACACTACCACTCTCAACACCAACCCACACTAACCACTCTCAACACCAACCCACACTACTACTTTAAAAACCAACTCCACACTACCATCTTGAAAACTAACCAACACTACTACTCTCACACTCAACACTAACACCACTCACTCTCAACTCAATACCCAACCCACACTACCACCTCAACACCAACCTACACACTACTACCTCTCAACACCAACCCACACTGCTACCTCAACAATACCACACTACCACCCACAACACCAACCTAACACTACCAACCAACACTACCACCACTACCAAAATTCAACTCCACACTACACACCTCCACACTCAACTCCACACTACTACTCCAAATACCAACTCCACACTGCCACCTCAACACCAACCCACACTACCAATTTCAACACCAACTCCACACTACCACCTTCAACACAAAACCCACTCCAACCTCTAAACACCAACTCCACACTCTACCACCTCAACACACCAACTTCCACACTACCACCTCAATACCAAACCTCCACTTCAACCTTCTCCACCAACCCACACTACCACCTAAACACAACACCCACCACTACTAACCTCAACACCAACCCACACTAATTTTAAACACCAACCCACACTACCACTTCAACACTAACCCACTACTACCACTCACACACCACCACCTCAACACACCAACTCAACACACACTACCACCTAAACACCAACCCACACTGCCACTTCTCTACCACTTCAACACACACTAATACTTCAATTACTCCACCAACCCACACCAACCACCTCAACACCAACCCCAACACTAATCTCTACTAACCTCTTAACACTAACTCCACACTACTACCTCAACACCAACCCACACAACTTCTTACATTTCAACTCCACACTACCACCTCAAACACCAACCCACACTGCTACACTTCTCAACACCAACTCCCACACTACTACTTCAACACCAACTCCACACACTACTGACTAACACCAACCCACACTGCCATTCTCAACACTAACTCCACACTGCTACCATTTCTCTACTCAACCCACTAATACCTCAACACCAACTCCACACTACTCACCTCAACATTCAACCCACACTACTCAACACCTCAACACTAACTCACACTACTACTCAACACTAACTCCACACTGCTACTCTCAACACTCAACCCACACTACTATTCCACCAACAACACCACACTATCACCATACCACACTTCTCAACACCAACTCCACACTACCACCCTCAACACTCAACTCCACACTCACCACCTCAACACCAACCCACACTACCACCTCATCAACTCCACACTGCCACCTCAACATTCAACCCCTACTACTCACCTCAACACCAACTCCACACTACTAACACTAACATACTAACCCACACTACCACTCAACACCAACTACCACTCACTTCCACACACCAACTCCACACTGCCACCTCTCAACACCAACTCCCACACTGCCACCTCAACACCAACCCACACTGCCACCTCAACACCAACTCACACTCACACCACTCAACACCACACCCACACTCAACACCAACTCCCACACTGCCACTCAACACCAACCCACACTGCCACTCTAACACCAACCCACACTACCACCTAAAATACCCAACCACAGCCACTCCAACACCACCCTCACACACCAACCTCCACACTAACCACACTAACCCACACTACCACTCAACACCACACCCACACCACCTCAACACCAACCCACACTACCACCTCAACACCAACCCACACTACCACCTCAACACCAACCCACTCAACCCTCTCCACCAACCCACAACTACTACCTCAACACCAACCTACACTACCACCTCAACACCAACCCACTTAACCCTCTCCACCAACCCACACTACCACCTCTCCACCAACCCACACTACCACCTCAACACATACCCTCTCAACATGAACCTTATCAATCCTTTCCACATGTGGTAAAGTTAGAAAACAGTTACAAAAGCTGCTGCATATCTGATACAAATACCTGAAGGCACAAAGATACTACATCTTTTAAAAACCCATGATAAAAACCCATCCAAAAACAGTAAAACTGACAGCCCTGATTTCCAACGCTCATTATATCTGAAGAATCTGCTAATTTAATTTGAAGTAAATTGACCGAACAGAAACATAATCAACCTCAAACACAAGGTGATAGATGGTCAAGCTGTCTCTGATAATGAGGCCAGATGTACATGTATAGACATACCCTCAAGTCACATGGGATGTTAGTTAACATCAGGCAGCTCCACTGATGTACAAAACCCGGCTGTGAAGATTGGTCTGGAGTGTAGTGAACTAGTCGTCAGTGAAGGATGCTTGGGGGATGTAGTGACTGGATAGTGGAGGGTTGTTCTGGGGGTGTAGTGATTGGATAGTGGAGGGTTGTTCTGAGAGTGTAGTGGGATAGTGTTGTTCTGAGGGTGCAGTGATTGGATAGTGGAGGGTTGTTCTGGGGATGTAGTGATTGGATAGTGGGGCTGTTCCTGGGGAGAAGGATTGTTCTGGAGGGTGTTCTCAGTGTATTGGATAGTGGAGGGTTGTTCTGGGGGTGTAGTGATTGGATAGTGGAGGGTTGGAGGGGTTGTTCTGTTCCTGGGGATGTGAGTGATTGGATAGTGGAGGGTTGTTCTGGGGATGTAGTGATTGGATAGTGGAGGGTTGTTCTGGGGGTGTAGTGATTGGATAGTGGAGGGTTGTTCTGGGGTGTAGTGATTGGATAGTGGAGGGTTGTTCTGGGGGTGTAGTGATTGGATAGTGGAGGGTTGTTCTGGGGGTGTAGTGATTGGATAGTGGAGGGTTGTTCTGGGGATGTAGTGACCTACTGGATAGTGGAGGGTTGTTCTGGGGTGTGTGAAGTGACTGGATAGTGGAGGGTTGTTCTCTGAGTGTGATAGTGATTGGATAGTGGAGGGTTGTTCTGGGGATGTAGTGAGTTGGATAGTGGAGGGTTGTTCTGGGGTGTGCAGTACTGGATAGTGGAGGGTTGTTCTGGGGTGTAGTGATTGGATAGTGGAGGGTTGTTCTGGGGATGTAGTGATTGGATAGTGGAGGGTTGTTCTGGGGGTGTAGTGATTGTGAAGTGGAGGAGGGTTGTTCTGAGGGGGTGTAGTGATTGGATTCTGGAGGGGTTGTTCTGTGGGGTGTAGTGATTGGATAGTGGAGGGTTGTTCTGGGGATGTAGTGATTGGATAGTGGAGGGTTGTTCTGGGATTGAATGAAGTGTACTGGGGATAGTGGATAGTGAGAGGGTTGTTCTGGGGAGTGTAGTGACCTGGATAGTGGAGGGTTGTTCTGGGGGTGCAGTGATTGGACAGTGGAGGGTTGTTCTGGGGGTGTAGTGAACCTAGTGATTGGATAGTGGAGGGTTGTTCTAAAGAGGTGTAGTGAACCTACTGGATAGTGGAGGGTTGTTCTGGAGGGGTGTAGTGAACCTGACTGGATAGTGGAGGGTTGTTCTAGAGAGTGTAGTGATTGGATAGTGGAGGGTTGTTCTGGGGGTGTAGTGATTGAACCTGGAGGGATTGTGTGGAGGGATTGTTCTGGGGGTGCAGTGAACCTGTACTGATTGGATAGTGGAGGGTTGTTCTGGGGGTGTAGTGACCTACTGATAGTGGAGGTTGTTCTAGAGGGCAGTGAACCTACTGGATAGTGGAGGTTGTTCCAGAGTGCAGTGAACCTATTGGATAGTGGAGGGTTGTTCTGGAGGTGTAGTGAACCTACTGGATAGTGGAGGGGTTGATTCTGGGGAATGTAGTAATTGGATAGTGGAGGGTTGTTCTGGGGATGTAGTGTAGTGATTGGATAGTGGAGGGTTGTTCTGGGGGGTGCAGTGACCTACTGGATAGTGGAGGGTTGTTCTTGGGGTGCAGTGAACCTACTGGATAGTGGAAGGGGTTGTTCTGGAGGTGCAGTGAACCTACTGGATAGTGGAGGGTTGTTCTGGGGTGCAGTGAACCTACTGGATAGTGGAGGAGGTTGTTCTGGGGAGTGTAGTGAACCTGGAGGGGTTGTTCTGGAAGTGAAGTGTACTGTTCTAGTGGAGGTGTCTTGAACTGTACTACTGGATAGTGGAGGGCTGTTCTAGGGTGTAGTGAACCTACTGGATAGTGGAGGAGTTGTTCTGGGGGTGTGACGAACCTACTGGATAGTGGAGGGTTGTTCTGGAGGTGCAGTGAACCTACTGGATAGTGGAGGGTTGTTCTGGAGGTGCAGTGAACCTACTGGATAGTGGAGGGTTGTTCTGGAGGTGCAGTGAACCTACTGGATAGTGGAGGGTTGTTCTGGGGGTGTAGTGAACCCACTGGATAGTGGAGAGGGTTGTTCCTGGAGGTGTAGTGAACCTACTGGATAGTGGAGGGTTGTTCTGGAGGTGCAGTGAACCTACTGGATAGTGGAGGGTTGTTCTAGGGGTGATCGGACAGTGAGCCTACTGGATAGTGGAGGGTTGTTCTGGAGGTGTAAGTGAACCTACTGGATAGTATTGTTCTGGGAGTGTAGTGAACCTGATAGTGGGGGTTGTTCTAGGTAGGGTGGAGGAACCTACTGGATAGTGGATATTGTTGTTCTGGGGTGTGGTGAACCTACTGGATAGTGGAGTTTGTTCTAGGGTGTAGTGAACCCTACTGAACCCATCGATAGTGGAGGGTTGTTCTGGAGGTGCTTAGTAGACCTAGATAGTGGAGGATTGTTCCTAGGAGTGTAGTGAACCTACTACAAGATAGTGGAGGGTTGTTCTGGGGGGTAGTGAACCTACTGGACAGTAGAGGGAGGAATTTGTTCTTGGGGGTAGTGTGGTAGTGTTCTTGACCTACTGGATAGTGGAGGGTTGTTCTTGGGGTGTAGAAAGTGAACCTACTGGATAGTGGAGGGTTGTTCTGGGGGTGTAGTGAACCTACTGGATAGTGGAAGGGTTGTTCTGGGGTGTAAGTGAACCTACTGATAGTGGAGGGCTGTTCTGGGGAGTTTTGGGAGTGTAGTGAACCTACTGGATAGTGGAGGGTTGTTCTGGGGGTGTAGTGAACCTACTGGATAGTGGAGGGTTGTTCTGGGGGTGTAGTGAACCTACTGGATAGTGGAGGTTGTTCTGGGGGTGTAGTGAACCTACTGGATAGTGGAGGGTTGTTCTGGGGTGTAGTGAACCTACTGGATAGTGGAGGGTTGTTCTGGGGGTGTAGTGAACCTACTGGATAGTGGAGGGTTGTTCTGGGGGTGCAGTGAACCTACTGGATAGTGGAGGGTTGTTCTGGGGTGTAGTGAACCTACTGGATAGTGGAGGGTTGTTCTGGGGGGTGTAGTGAACCTACTGGATAGTGGAGGGTTGTTCTGGGGTGCAGTGAACCTACTGGATAGTGGAGGGTTGTTCTGGGGGTGTAGTGAACCTACTGGATAGTGGAGGGTTGTTCTGGGGATGTAGTGAACCTACTGGATAGTGGAGGGTTGTTCTGGGGGTGTAGTGAACCTACTGGATAGTGGAGGGTTGTTCTGGAGGGTGTAGTGAACCTACTGGATAGTGGAGGGTTGTTCTGGAGGTGTAGTGAACCTACTGGATAGTGGAGGGTTGTTCTAGGGTGTAGTGAGCCTACTGGATAGTGGAGGGTTGTTCTGGAGGTGCAGTGAACCTACTGGATAGTGGAGGGTTGTTCTGGAGGTGTGAGTGAACCTACTGGATAGTGGAGGGCTGTGGAGTGAAAGTGTTGGATAGTGGAGGGTTGTTCTGGGGTGCAGTGAACCTACTGGATAGTGGAGGGTTGTTCTGGAGGTGCAGTGAACCTACTGGATAGTGGAGGGTTGTTCTGGAGGTGCAGTGAACCTACTGGATAGTGGAGGGTTGTTCTGGGGTGTAGTGAACCTACTGGATAGTGGAGGGTTGTTCTGGAGGTGTAGTGAACCTACTGGATAGTGGAGGGTTGTTCTGGAGGTGTAGTGAACCTACTGGATAGTGGAGGGTTGTTCTGGAGGTGCAGTGAACCTACTGGATAGTGGAGGGTTGTTCTGGAGGTGTAGTGAACCTACTGGATAGTGGAGGGTTGTTCTGGAGGTGTAGTGAACCTACTGGATAGTGGAGGGTTGTTCTGGAGGTGCAGTGAACCTACTGGATAGTGGAGGGTTGTTCTGGAGGGTGTAGTGAACCTACTGGATAGTGGAGGGTTGTTCTGGGGTGTAGTGAACCTACTGGATAGTGGAGGGTTGTTCTGGGGGTGTAGTGAACCTACTGGATAGTGGAGGGTTGTTCTGGGACGGTTGGGCAGCTTAGTGGTTAAGGTGTTGGCTCGTCACGCTGAAAGCCCGGGTTCGACTCTCCACATGGGTACAATGTGTGAAGTCCATTTCTGGTGTCCCGTGCCGTGATATTGGTGGAATAGTGCTAAAAGAGGCGTAAAACCATACTCACTCGCTCATCCCAAAATATGACAAGCTCCAGGGAGGGTAATTATTTTCTGCACATTATTGTATCAGAAACAACTGAGACTCACACTCCCTGCAATAAATGACTTGTCCATTATCCACCTATAGCATCCTTTAACAAAATCTATTTGGACACAACTTTCTGAGATATTCTGGGAAACACTTGCAACATTAACACCATTGTTTAAGTTGGGTTTTGAACTGGCGAGGAATGACAGATCTTGACGCCAACAAAAACAGTGTTAATTCTAACTCTCAGAATCAGACTTGAGCTCACTGAATTGTCAGCTGCTGTTTGGCTGTAATGTACAATCCTTTCACGCACGAACTATGAAATTGATGAAGCTAAACCATTCTGGCAACTGACAGTAAGACTTCTGTCTTTGTTTACGTCAAGGTTGTCTTGATCTCCATCACAATAAATAACATTTAAAACAATTCCAATTTGAAAAAAACAGACATATTTTGGAAAAGGAAAGCAAAGTCCACAATGCCGTCCGTGTGAAGGTCGCAGCGAGTCTGTTTGTTGCCGTGAGTGATGTCTACAAGGCCTGCAGTTGCCGATTTCCCTGGAGAAATGTACGAGATTTATATCAGCAATAGACGTGGATCTGTCTAATGGTATCACAGCACAGAGACGCGATTAGAAAGAAAATGGGCCATCAGATGACACTATCTCGCACCATCACATGTACTTCCGCTTCAGTGAGTGAGCGAGTGAGTGAGTATGGGTTTACACAACTTTTAGCAATATTCCAGCAATATCCTGGCGGGTAAACCAGAAATGGGCTTCACACATTGTCCCCGTGTGCAGAATCAAACCCAGAGTTGTGATAAGCAAACACCTTAACTGCTAGGCTACCCCAACGCCCCACCTCAGCTTGAAACATGGACAGCCACAGTGGAGGACTTAACACATGTACTGTCAGGGTGGAGGACATAACACATATACTGTCAGGGTGGAGGATGTAACACATATACTGTCAGGGTGGAGGATGTAACACATATACTGTCAGGGTGGAGGATATAACACATATACTGTCAGGGTGGAGGACATATACTGTCAGGGTGGAGGATATAACACATATACTGTCAGGGTGGAGGATGTAACACATATACTGTCAGGGTGGAGGATATAACACATATACTGTCAGGGTGGAGGATGTAACACATATACTGTCAGGGTGGAGGATATAACACATATACTGTCAGGGTGGAGGATGTAACACATATACTGTACTGTCAGGGTGTCAGGGTGGAGGATATAACACATATACTGTCAGGGTGGAGGATAACACATATATCAGGGTGGAACACATATACTGTCAGGGTGGAGGATATAACACATATACTGTCAGGGTGGAGGATATAACACATATACTGTCAGGGTGGAGGATATAACACATATACTGTCAGGGTGGAGGATATAACACATATACATGTCTGTCAGGGTGGAGGATATAACACATATACTGTCAGGGTGGAGGATATAACACATATACTGTCAGGGTGGAGGATATAAACACTGTCAGGGTGGATACTGTCAGGGTGGAGGATGTAACACATATACTGTCAGGGTGGAGGATATAACACATATACTGTCAGGGTGGAGGATATAACACATATACTGTCAGGGTGGAGGATATAACACATATACTGTCAGGGTGGAGGATGTAACACATATACTGTCAGGGTGGAGGATATAACACATATACTGTCAGGGTGGAGGATATAACACATATACTGTCAGGGTGGAGGATATAACACATATACTGTCAGGGTGGAGGATATAACACATATACTGTCAGGGTGGAGGATATAACACATATACTGTCAGGGTGGAGGACATAACACATATACTGTCAGGGTGGAGGATATAACACATGTACTGTCAGGGTGGAGGATATAACACATATACTGTCAGGGTGGAGGATATAACACATGTACTGTCAGGGTGGAGGATATAACACATATACTGTCAGGGTGGAGGATATAACACATATACTGTCAGGGTGGAGGATATAACACATATACTGTCAGGGTGGAGGATATAACACATATACTGTCAGGGTGGAGGATATAACACATATACTGTCAGGGTGGAGGATATAACACATATACTGTCAGGGTGGAGGATATAACACATGTACTGTCAGGGTGGAGGATATAACACATATACTGTCAGGGTGGAGGATGTAACACATGTACTGTCAGGGTGGAGGATGTAACACATATACTGTCAGGGTGGAGGATGTAACACATGTACTGTCAGGGTGGAGGATGTAACACATATACTGTCAGGGTGGAGGATGTAACACATATACTGTCAGGGTGGAGGATGTAACACATATACTGTCAGGGTGGAGGATGTAACACATATACTGTCAGGGTGGAGGATGTAACACATGTACTGTCAGGTTTGAAGAAATAACATTTTCACTGTCAGGGTAAAAACATCAAGAACTGATTCTTGCATAATAACTTTTAAAAATCCAAAATGAGGAATAATTCATCACGAAAGGTAAAAAAGTATTTTTGCATTAAGAGAAAATGTCAAATTTGAAAGGATAATTATAAAACCGTACAAAAGCAAATGCATTTCTTTTGAGGAAATATATTGTCTCGCCTAAAAGATAAAGCCATGTTTTTTCAGATGTGACGCTAATTTTGTGGTGATATGTCCCAGTAAAACCATGTTGAAATATGAGATGATTACTTAATTAAACAGAAAATACCAGAGAAACTACAGCTCTCTTTGTCAGAATCAATAAGAGTATTAGCAGAATATGACCACG